CGCCGCTGCGCTGATTATTGGATTATTCGTCTCAAGTCCTGAGCTGCGTCCTCCGCTCCGAGGTGCTGCGTTCAGGGCCGCCACGGAGGGTCGGATATTCCAAAGTCAGTGCAAAGAACTAGTAGAGTAGAATAGAATAGAATAGAATAGAATAGAATAGAATAGAATAGAATATCCTTTATTAGTCCCACAAGGGGGGAGGATTTGCAACGTCACACGGCAAGGTGACAGTAAGAAAAGCAAACACACAACTATAAATTAAAGAGGCGAGGTGTCGTCCTCAAATGTATTGATACCCTCCAAATAAAGAAGGAAAAAAAACAGCAGTCACTGAAATAAGTTGAAATTGACAAACGTAATAATAAATAAAAACTTAATGAACATCATGACATTGGTTTTGAATTGTGGTTGAACAGAAATAGTAAAAAACAACAACAAAAAACTCAAGCATGACAGGAACTGTCAACTAATATTTTGTTGAACAACCTTTTGAGCCAATCACTGCAATCAAGTGTTTTCTGTAACTCTCAGGTATTTGGATTTTGGTCCACTGCTCATCAGCAAAGTGCTCTAATTAGTCCAGGAGAGTTTTGTTTTTTTTAAATTAATCTTTTCAGCCACAATTCAAAAGCAATGTCTTGTTTCACTAAATTATAATTTAGCAAATTTTTATCTATTATTGCTTTTTTCAGTTTCTAGTTATTTGAGTGACTATTGTGAATTTTGCCTTTTCTTTAATGGAAGGGTATGAATACATTTGAGGATGTCTGTACTATAAATACACAATATAAGTACAATATAAACAGAGGAACACAAGGACACAAATTTAAGAATATTTACATGAATGAATTGCACATGACAGTTGGCTATCTGTCATTATGTGAGTGACTGTTGGGAGCAGTGCTGATTATAAAGTCTGATACCAGCAGGAAGGCAGGACCTGCAGTAGCCTACTGCTCCTTCACACATCAGGGGTGACCCAGTCTGTCGCTAAACGAGCTGCCCGATGCCCTCAGAGTGTCGTGCATGGGGTGGGAGTCACTGTCCAGCAGAATTCTCATAGTTTAATCGTAACAACTGGACTTGCTTGAGGTTCTTGAAGCCGTTTCACCTCTCATCCAAAAGGCTTCATCAGTTCTGACTGACTTCTGATGTCTTCAAGAAACTCAAGTTATGATTGAACTATGAGAATAACCATGACCTGGATGACTGAGAATCTTCACACAGACACATCCAGCAGGGATGTAAGCTTGGCTCCTTTCTCCCACCACCTGCACTGAGTCCAGAGGGCTCTCCAGGACAGAGTCGGCCTTCTTGATCAGCCGATCTAGTTTCCCACTGCGACCCTGGCAGACCACTCCATAGAGGAGGGCTGATGCTACCACAGAGTCATAGAAGGTCCTCAGGAGCGCCCCCTGCACCCCAGAGGACCCCGGTCTCCTGAGCAGGTAGAGTCTGCTCTGGGTGCACCAGTGAATAATAAATAAGGTGGAAATCCTTTTTCTAAAATGACTGCAAACATGCAACACACAGCAGCTTGTTTTCCTTTTATTGTGACTTCTGATGNCGCCGCTGCGCTGATTATTGGATTATTCGTCTCAAGTCCTGAGCTGCGTCCTCCGCTCCGAGGTGCTGCGTTCAGGGCCGCCACGGAGGGTCGGACATTCCAAAGTCAGTGCAAAGAATGAATAGAATAGAATAGAATAGAATAGAATAGAATATCCTTTATTAGTCCCACAAGGGGGGGTTAGCAACGTCACAGCAGCAAAGTGACAGTAAGAAAAGCAAACACACAACTATAAATTAAAGAGGCAAGATGTGGTCCTTAAATGTATTCATACCCTCCAAATAAAGAAGGAAAAAAACAGCTGTCACTGAAATAAGTTGAAACTGACAAAAATAATAATAAATAAAAAATTAAATGAAAATCATGATGTTGGTTTTGAATTTTGGTTCAACAGAAATAGTAAAACAAACAAACAAACAAACAAAAACAAACAAACCAAGCATGACAGGACCTGTAAACTAATATTTTGTTGAACAACTCCTTGAGCCAATCACTGCAATCAGATGTTTTCTGTAACTCTCAGGTATTTGGATTTTGGTCCACTGCTCATCAGCAAATTGCTCTAATTTGTCCAGGACAGTTTTGTTTTTTTTAAATTAATCTTTTCAGCCACAATTCAAAAGCAACATCTTATTTCACTAAATTATAATTTAGCAAATTTTTTTTTATCTATTATTACTTTTTTCAGTTTCTGAGTGACTGTTGTGAATTTTGTCTTTTCTTTAATGGAAGGGTATGAATACATTTGAGGACGACTGTACTATAAATATACAATATAAGTACAATTCAAACAGAGGAACACAAATGTAAGAATACCAGCAGGAAGAGCTGCCCGATGCCCTCAGAGTGTCGTGCATGGGGGAGAGTCACTGTCCACCCGCACTGGGTCCAGAGGGCTCCCCAGGACCGAGTCGGCCTTCTTGATCAGCCGATCTAGTTTCCCGCTGCGACCCCAGCAGACCACTCCATAGAGGAGGGCTGATGCTACCACAGAGTCATAGAAGGTCCTCAGGACCCCAGAGGACCCTGGTCTCCTGAGCTGATAGAATCTGCTCTGAATGCACTAGTGAATAATAAATAAGGTGGAAATCCTTTTTCTAAAATGACTGCAAACATGCAACACACAGCAGCTTGTTTTCCTTTTATTGTGACTTCTGAT